GGTTCAAAACGTATTCCTATACTACCTGATTCGTCTAATAATGAATATACACTAGTAGCTGATATTCTTCTCTATTTGTTGAAAGTACCTGATTCGGTATTAGTAGATTTTTTTTTTTGTAAAATGTATAAAGCTAAAAAAGGTTTGTATATTTGTTTATGTAATATGGCATATAAAAAACTTTATTTGGTTTTGGTAATTAATTTAACTATTATCGTTAAAGATCTTCAAAAAGGACACTAGTATAAAAATACATCTATGGGCTACGGAAAGTTAAGAAAAATGATGAATGATATTGCAGTACATACTGGCATTGATCTCAGTAATAGACAAAAAATTACAAATTATTCGTGTCATCACACCGCAATTCAGTTATTAAAAAATAATGAGCTTTCAGATTCTGATTTACAATCATTCTCAGAACATCGCTCATGTGAAAGCCTTGCAGATTATTGTAAACTTAGCAATGATCAACATATTTTAAACACTGCAATATTAATTTCTTTTTCATCGAATGAATTAGATCTAGATGAGTATGATTTTTTTGAAGATATTTTAGGCAAAAATGCTGATAATATAGAACAAGGTAAATACGTATTTTGATATAATTTTAACAATTAATTTTTATTTATACATTTTGTATTTTTTTTTTTTTAGATTATGAAGTCGAACTTCCTGAACCACAATTTCAAATTACTGAGACACAAGCATTTCAAGTTCCTGAAGCACAACCAGTTCAACTTCCTGAAGCACAAGTGATCCAAGTTTCCACAGCAAAGGCAATTGAAGTTTGTACGGCACTAGCAACTGAAATTTCTATAGCACATGCAATTGAAGTTCCTACGGCACATGCAATTGAAGTTTCTATGGCACATGCAATTAAAGTTTCTACAGCACAAGCAACTGAAGTTTCTATGGCACAAGCAACCAAAGCTTTTACAATACATGCAATTGAAGTTTTTACGGCTTCACCTCAAACTCAAAATACGAATAAGGCTAGGATTTCAAGACTTTCTAAATTAAAGTCTTATACTCGAACTCACCCTTATTCTTCAGTGATGGCACCCTTTAAACCTCCTTGTCTTCCAGGTTCTCTATTGTTGACTTCTTATAGAAAGCATCGAAAACCTTTATCTGCAGTTAATAATATCATTATTCAACTTCCTCCCGGAGCCTCTTCACAAAGTTATGACCTAAACATAAATTTAAAAATTAATTAGATCTCTTAAATATAACTGTTTTTATTAATTGCAAATTAATAAATACTTAGCTGTGCAAATATAATACTTTTAATAAAGTGACCAAAATTTGAGTATTTTAAATATAAAGTAGTTGAAAATTGAGTTATCACATGATTAGAAAGTGAACGAATAATATATACAGAAAATGTCCAGTGCGCACATAGGACATGTTGGATAATATAATTCAGCCATATTTCTAGTTTTAAAATATTTTTTTAGTATTTCTAGTAAGTCTTTGTTAAGTGATCTAATTTTTTTTTATGCTCTACTAATGCTTTTTTTCTTTTTTGGTTATTTTCTTCCAAGTTCAGTTTCTTGAAGTATTTCTTCAGCATTTTTAGTAAGTCGTTAATTAAGGTTTTTTTTTTTCTTCCCTCTACTAACATTTTTCTTGATGATTCTCTTTCAAGCTCAGGTTTTTGTAGTATTTCTTCTATGTTTTCGATAAGTCTTTTGTTAATTATTAAGTGGGTATTTTTTTTTAGCACTAATATTATTTTCTTTTTTTTTCTGGTGATTCTCTTTCAGATTCAGGTTTCTTCTTTTCAGTTTTTCTGGTAATCTTTCATTAATTGTGTTCTATTTTTTTTCACTTTACTAACATCTTTTCTGGATGATTCCCTTTTAGATTTGGGTTCTTGGAGTATTCCTTTGGCTCTCTGGATTTTTGAAGCATCTTTTTGGTATTTCTGGTAAGTTTTTCGTTAATTGTATTCTATTTTTTTTGCTCTATTAACATCATTTCTGGATAATTCTTGTTTAGATTTGGGGTTTTTGAAGTATTTTTATGGCCCTCTGGGCTCTTGAAGCATCTCTTCAGCATTCCTGGTAAGTCATTCATTAATTGTATTTTAATTTTTTTTTTGTTCTACTAACATCTTTTCTGGATAATTCCTTTTTAGGTTTGAGTTCTTGAAGTATTTCTTTAGCTTTCTGGGTTTTTGAAGTATCTCTTTGACATTCCTAGTAAGTCTTTTGTTAATTGTGTTTTATTTTTTTTTACTCTACTAACATCATTTCTAAATAATTCTCTTTTAGATTTAGGTTCTTGAAGTATTTTTTTAGCTCTTCAGGTTCAGAAGCATCTCTTCAGTATTTCTGGTAAGTTATTTGTTAATTGTGTTCAATTTTTTTTGCTTTATTAACATCTTTTCTGAATAATTCTCTTTCAGGTTCAGGTTTTTGAAATATTTCTTCGGCTCTCTGAGTTATTGGTATATTTTTTTGGCAACCTTTTTTTGGTGGTTCTCTTTTAGGTTCAGTCTTCTTGGTACATTTATATATACCCTTTTGGTAGTATTAAGTTTTGGTTTGTTGGTTTATTTTTGCTTTTGTGTTTTGTTAAACATGTATTAGTATTGAAATTTTTTTTTTGGCAGGTATTAGTACTGAATTTTTTTTTTTCTAATGAAAATTTATTAAAATTTTTATATTATAATATTACTATATAGTAATAGTCATAATTATTTAATTACATTATAATTTTACAAACTTATATATCTATTACTAATCATGTGCACCTGCCAAAAGTCAAAAAAAAGATTTAATTCTAATATCTGCCAAAAAAAAAAAATTCAGTACTAATACCTGCCAAAAAAAAAATTTCAATACTAATACATGTTTAACAAAACACAAAAGCAAAAATAAACCAACAAACCAAAACTTAATACTACCAAAAGGGTATATATAAATGTACCAAGAAGACTGAACCTAAAAGAGAACCACCAAAAAAAGGTTGCCAAAAAAATATACCAATAACTCAGAGAGCCGAAGAAATATTTCAAAAACCTGAACCTGAAAGAGAATTATTCAGAAAAGATGTTAATAAAGCAAAAAAAATTGAACACAATTAACAAATAACTTACCAGAAATACTGAAGAGATGCTTCTGAACCTGAAGAGCTAAAAAAATACTTCAAGAACCTAAATCTAAAAGAGAATTATTTAGAAATGATGTTAGTAGAGTAAAAAAAAATAAAACACAATTAACAAAAGACTTACTAGGAATGTCAAAGAGATACTTCAAAAACCCAGAAAGCTAAAGAAATACTTCAAGAACTCAAACCTAAAAAGGAATTATCCAGAAAAGATGTTAGTAGAACAAAAAAAAAATTAAAATACAATTAATGAATGACTTACCAGGAATGCTGAAGAGATGCTTCAAGAGCCCAGAGGGCCATAAAAATACTTCAAAAACCCCAAATCTAAACAAGAATTATCCAGAAATGATGTTAATAGAGCAAAAAAAATAGAATACAATTAACGAAAAACTTACCAGAAATACCAAAAAGATGCTTCAAAAATCCAGAGAGCCAAAGGAATACTCCAAGAACCCAAATCTAAAAGGGAATCATCCAGAAAAGATGTTAGTAAAGTGAAAAAAAATAGAACACAATTAATGAAAGATTACCAGAAAAACTGAAAAGAAGAAACCTGAATCTGAAAGAGAATCACCAGAAAAAAAAAGAAAATAATATTAGTGCTAAAAAAAAATACCCACTTAATAATTAACAAAAGACTTATCGAAAACATAGAAGAAATACTACAAAAACCTGAGCTTGAAAGAGAATCATCAAGAAAAATGTTAGTAGAGGGAAGAAAAAAAAAAACCTTAATTAACGACTTACTAAAAATGCTGAAGAAATACTTCAAGAAACTGAACTTGGAAGAAAATAACCAAAAAAGAAAAAAAGCATTAGTAGAGCATAAAAAAAAATTAGATCACTTAACAAAGACTTACTAGAAATACTAAAAAAATATTTTAAAACTAGAAATATGGCTGAATTATATTATCCAACATGTCCTATGTGCGCACTGGACATTTTCTGTATATATTATTCGTTCACTTTCTAATCATGTGATAACTCAATTTTCAACTACTTTATATTTAAAATACTCAAATTTTGGTCACTTTATTAAAAGTATTATATTTGCACAGCTAAGTATTTATTAATTTGCAATTAATAAAAACAGTTATATTTAAGAGATCTAATTAATTTTTAAATTTATGTTTAGGTCATAACTTTGTGAAGAGGCTCCGGGAGGAAGTTGAATAATGATATTATTAACTGCAGATAAAGGTTTTCGATGCTTTCTATAAGAAGTCAACAATAGAGAACCTGGAAGACAAGGAGGTTTAAAGGGTGCCATCACTGAAGAATAAGGGTGAGTTCGAGTATAAGACTTTAATTTAGAAAGTCTTGAAATCCTAGCCTTATTCGTATTTTGAGTTTGAGGTGAAGCCGTAAAAACTTCAATTGCATGTATTGTAAAAGCTTTGGTTGCTTGTGCCATAGAAACTTCAGTTGCTTGTGCTGTAGAAACTTTAATTGCATGTGCCATAGAAACTTCAATTGCATGTGCCGTAGGAACTTCAATTGCATGTGCTATAGAAATTTCAGTTGCTAGTGCCGTACAAACTTCAATTGCCTTTGCTGTGGAAACTTGGATCACTTGTGCTTCAGGAAGTTGAACTGGTTGTGCTTCAGGAACTTGAAATGCTTGTGTCTCAGTAATTTGAAATTGTGGTTCAGGAAGTTCGACTTCATAATCTAAAAAAAAAAAAATACAAAATGTATAAATAAAAATTAATTGTTAAAATTATATCAAAATACGTATTTACCTTGTTCTATATTATCAGCATTTTTGCCTAAAATATCTTCAAAAAAATCATACTCATCTAGATCTAATTCATTCGATGAAAAAGAAATTAATATTGCAGTGTTTAAAATATGTTGATCATTGCTAAGTTTACAATAATCTGCAAGGCTTTCACATGAGCGATGTTCTGAGAATGATTGTAAATCAGAATCTGAAAGCTCATTATTTTTTAATAACTGAATTGCGGTGTGATGACACGAATAATTTGTAATTTTTTGTCTATTACTGAGATCAATGCCAGTATGTACTGCAATATCATTCATCATTTTTCTTAACTTTCCGTAGCCCATAGATGTATTTTTATACTAGTGTCCTTTTTGAAGATCTTTAACGATAATAGTTAAATTAATTACCAAAACCAAATAAAGTTTTTTATATGCCATATTACATAAACAAATATACAAACCTTTTTTAGCTTTATACATTTTACAAAAAAAAAAATCTACTAATACCGAATCAGGTACTTTCAACAAATAGAGAAGAATATCAGCTACTAGTGTATATTCATTATTAGACGAATCAGGTAGTATAGGAATACGTTTTGAACC